ATTTGTCGGAGAATGGAAATCGGATTGGAGGATTTGCAGAGACAAGTGAGGAAAGTGTTCCACAGATTGGTGAGAAGCAGACTAGAGATATTTTCAATGCTTGAACAAGCTGGAAGATCCTCAGCTTCTGCAATCTAACCTGTAAATTCTGTTTTTTTTTCCTTTGGGGGGCTTTCTTAGTCTAAAAATCTAATCTTTGAAAAAGCTTTTGATGTGTATAATCTTACAAGGCGTATAAACATACACACCATGTTTAGGTTTTGGTATATGAATCTGCAAAACTGTGACTGAGATTAGATTCATGGTGCTTTCCTGAATCTGTACTTCTGTGGCTTCCGTGTCTCTTTTCCTGACTTGTGGTTATTTCCAGAAGCTTCCCTATGTTTCCCGAAGCTTCTATTAGTACCGGGGCGCTTTGGTCCTGTTCTGCTTCCATTATTGTCGGAAGCAGGTGTGTGTGTATGTATTCTCTTCTGACGTTTGAATTTGTTGTGTTCCATGCTGCTGTCTTGTTTGCCTCTTGTTTCTGATGAAGCTTCTCTGTGATTTCTTTTACGTGGCCTGTAAAAGAGAATCGATAATCATTTATGCATATAATGAGAATGAGTAAGCATTCATTTGATCTCGCGATATAAATTGCTATTCTAAAGGATCTTACACTCTGGATGGGTCGATGGATGTAGTCTGTGAATCATTGGTCTCTTCTTTGTCTTTAAATTTCCCCGAGCGGTTCTGCACATAAGATAAAAAGTTCCAAGATGTTGCCGCAATTTCTATATGAGATCTTCAAGAAAACCTACAGGGATAGGGAGAGAGAAAGAGACCTCTAAAACTGTCTGGAGGAAGGTCTTGTGCTTGTCTGGTGTGGCTAATTGAACTGCGCGTGTACCGCACTTCCTTATCATTATCTCGACTATGATTGTTACCTAAATACACAATTGTGGCAACGGAATCATCTTAAACTACACGTTTCGAGGAAGGAGACTAAGAAAATAAAATCAAACAGTGCGCTTATTAGTTACCTTTGATTTAAAATAATGTCTTGAAACAGACGACCAGGGGAGAATTTCCCATAAGAGGTTCTTCAGTAGATTCTGCAAGTCTTGTGCTTGTGATGTCGAGACTAAAACTTTCACGAAACCCAGAACAGCCTAGTTATACACGAAGATGCATGAGAAACTACTTAAAGCAACAACATATTTTGAGGTCTGAATAAAGAGGAAAAAGGGAGACTTTACCTTTATGATCTCAATGGATTTGGTATGCAGCAAGGATAAAACAGAGGAGAGAAGCTCTGGTGACGAAAGACAGATCTCAGGGTCTTTGTATATCAAAACGGATAACGCAGACACTGCTCCACTTCTTATGTGCGGCGATGTTCCAGATATATACCCAGATATCTGAAGAATCATGGATGATAGTTGGTCATTTGAAAGGTAACAAGAGTGGACTAAATTGTTAAAGGGATCTCCTCTCATGCACTTACCATGTTAACCAATTTGGGACAAAGTTCATCACCGGTGATAGATGATGAATTTTGTAAGGTGGTATACACCATAACCAGTGCATCACAAGCTGCTTTCCTATGTTCTTCTTTTCCCTGTATATGCAAATGCACAGAAAACGTTAGGTTTGTTTAGTACTTGTATTATTACACTTAGCACCAACAAACTGAAGCAGTGACGAAGCAAACAGTATGTTTTACATCTTTAAGCGTTAGAATCATCTCATTCAGGATAAGGAAAGCCTTCTCATTCTCCTCCTCGGCGCTCGACTGCAAAAAAAAAAGTTAAACATCACCAATTTTGGTCAGTCTCTTCATAAAGCAATATTGAATTGCAAATTTTATAAAACAAAGCATGGATACACTTAAGCTATAATTCATGTCTATTGGGATAAAAGGTTTTCAATTGATACAAAAGGAAACATTGAGACCTGAATTCCATGAGCCATTAAAACGTGGAAACACGCAAAACGACTTTTAGACGATGCTTTATCCTCTGGAGTTTTATGGCTGAGTAACATCTCTATCACCTCGGCAAAATGAGTTGAACAAAACCAATCATGTTCCTGCAACAGAGAGGGTAAAACCACATATATAAGCATGTAATACCACCCAGTGAACAGAATAAGAGCTACCACAATAAGTTCAGACGAAGTAAGCAACCTCTAGAACTCTGCTCAGAGTATCATATGCCCCACGAAGATCAGCCTCATCGGTTGCCTAAAACCAAAACAACTCATGGATCAGACTCCACATAATAAAGTTTTGGTGTCAATAATTTTAAGCCGAAGTTTAGTAAGATACCTGAAAACTTTGGCGAACAAGATTATAGATTAATTCAATAAGATCTTCTTTGGCTCCTTCAACAAATGAAGATGCAAGATCCAACACAGCACTCCTGCAAGTGGGTGGCAAAGAAAAATTCTTACCAGATATAGGAAGATATATATATGCACATGGATGTCATGCTAACACAATGTGTAATGATGTTTACGAAATATTCATGGAAGAGATTTTACGAGGGTGAGTTTCAAAATAAATGTTAAATATAACAGGACGCAGCATATAACTATACCTCTTTAACTGTGTCTTCGTAGCACTGCTGTTTTCTTTTTCTTCATCAACTGATTCATTAGACTGATTGACCTGCCCCTCAATCTCACTTTCACCAGCAGGATCAAACTTATTTAGCAAGGAAATTAAAATCTTTTTCCTCACTGAAGAATGCAGAGTAGAAGCTAAGCATCCAATTGCAGCCTGACATTACAAGAGCATAAAAAACCATATTGACCTATGCTGAAGAAATTCACAGAATAGAAGCAAAACAAATTTGGACAAAAAATAAAAATCCCTGTAAGCGTATGTCACTCGGAAAAGTACAAAAGAAGCTCCTAGTTAGGAAGGAAAAAACTGAAACTCGAAAAGAAATTAACCAATATATTAGTTTGAGCAACAAAGAGGAGGCTTCTGTTGTGCTTATAACTATGGTTTCTTTTTAAAAGTAACTATTTTCTACGACCCAGGAGAAGGCTAAGAAAGAGTCAATCTGATTTAGCCACACCAAAAAAGGCTATTTTCCTAGCAAACTAATATCTAGATCACGTGTAGGTATTATTCTCCAAGCGTGGAGACAATGGAAGACAACCAATTTGTTATAAGTTTGAACTGAACAAAATAAGAAAGAAAGTTTTGGTAAACCTTAAAGTCTGCACTGATCTCTGTGCCAGAAACAGTGAATACATCGACAAGAGTTTGAAGCAGTTGTGTTGAGCTTGATGCCAAAGCCTTCATGTTTTTAGTTGAAGTTTTCTTTGAGTAGTGGAATCCACTTTCAAGCTCTGGTTGAGCATCTTCACTTATATCGGCTTTTGCTTCGCCTATTTCTATACTGGACTTGGGCATCCTTTTGTTCTGATTTACAAGCATCTAAACAAGGAAATTTTTTAATGAGATCGAACTTCAGAAAACAATTGAATTTTTAGAGCAAAGCCAAGTTCTCAGCTCACCCTAGCATAAGTGAAATACGAAGGAAACTCACCTGTAGAGAAAGGGCCACGGCTTCATGCATGAACGATTTTTTCTTAATAAATTTAACCATAAGTTTGGCTAAAGATCCAAATTTTTGGGGCACATCAACTGGATAGTTACAAAAGGCAGGTAACAGCCTCAGAAGCTCATGACCACAAGCCCGCAACTCTTTACCGTGTGTTGACTTTTTAGCTAGCAAAGAAGCATATAAAATATCTGTTAGTGAAAATATCGCCATACACAGAAAAATCATTATGGGATTATGCCCTAGGTGATAACTGTTTTCTAGCATGACGTAAAGCTTCAAGTTACAGGATAGTATAGTAAACCCTGATATGCAAAAACAACCCAAAGCACAAGAAGATAGGATAAGGCTATTCCATTGAATGTAAATGAATTTCTCATTGTCAGCATAGGAGAGTACCTTCTTTTGAAGCAAGCATCAACGATTTTGCAAGGGGAATAATGTGGTCGATATAATACTCAAGAGATGCACCAACAATATATCTTCTTAAGATAGGAATTAGCCAAGCATTTGTGCACGAGTGACTCTCAGCATGAAGGGTAATAGGAAGAAGTGCTAGTAGCCTGACTGGCCCCATGGCAACTACTGCAGACCCAATGCATTGCTGAACCTGCAGATCAAGTCAAATATAGTATTAATTAAGCAATATAAATGGACTCGGTTGCGTCAGAAAAAAATGTTAACATAACAATATCATGAGATGAGAATCAAAATGTTTTTATTTCCTTAATTATGAAATATTATCAAACAAGAGAACACATTGAGTGTCAAATTGACAACTATCCACTGGATATTCAGAAAAATAAATCATAACTTCAGCGCCAACCATATTCCTAAAGTAAGAAAGTAGTATCATAACTGTAACACAATAGGCCCTTTTGCAACAATAATTTAGAAATCTAGCAAGTTAAGGAAGATTGTCCAATTGTGAGAATTAAGTGAAAACTTACATGTTGAGAGCTAGACGCATCTCCTTTTTCATTTTTCATCAAGTCGGCAAGCTTAAGTATGATATTCTTTGTTAGAATATATGAAAGCTCCCCTGAAACGATGGGAGATACAATCAAATGCTATTCATACCAATCTTAATGAACTTCTGGGAAAGTAAATTGTATGCTTGTAACAAAATGTTCTCAAAAGGTAGCTAACATGTTCAAAATAACAAAACGTAGCATCAGAGTGAAAGTACACCTACCAAGTTTCTTGATTAAGAGAGCTGTTACAGTTAAAATGTGCTCCTTTGGAATTCCATCACATGAGTTAAGGGTACTCTCCAAGATAGTGCATACATATCTTGCTGCATTTATATTGTCTCCACCAGGTAAGTCATCCTCATCTTCACAAGATAAGCTTCCCTCCATTAGGAGATTATTTATATCAACGTGGCTATTGATCAAGTCTTTCAATACAATTGAGGCTTGAGATGCAATGTCGTCAGTGGAAGTCAGAAGGCCTAGCATATGAATTAAAGGTGGTTGAGTTCATCACAATAAAAAAATTCAAATTCAAACACACATGGAAGAAGAAAAGAGCTAGATACTGTAAACTCCAGGCTGGGGGAAAGAATACCTGCCAATGACCCACAAACTAGTGGAAGTTTACTTCGACATATGGTCGGTTCGATCGAGTAGACTTTTTCCAAAGCACTTTTTAATAGAGTGATCACATGCACAATTGTGTCAGCAGGATTCTCATTGTAGAAAGATAAATAGCCAGTCAGGGAAGTTATGACTCCTTCTATCTCAGGAACAATAATTGTATCTTCCGAATTCTTAAAGATAGTGTCAATGGCTTTGAGGATTTGCCTTGTCAAAGGCGAAAACCGAGGAGCCATAAGCTTGCAAAGCTCTGAAAAAACTCTAGAGTTAACTTTGACAGAGAGAAACGGAATTGTAGCACTGAGCACATTTAACACATGAGCAGCCTCTGCGTTTTCAGATTTCAATGTTGAGTCAACCTTAGAACCTTCCTCAATCTTTTTCGAGCTTAATTCAGATAGTGCAGGCTTATATTCTTCAAGTAAACCATATACTGTGTAACTTGCTTCCTTTTTAACATTAGATTTCCGGAGAGAACCAAATAATTTCTCCAGACACTCTTGAGCACATCTTCTAACCTAACAGAGCAAACACACAAACCAAGATTGCTTAACCATGAAAACAATCATTCTATAGACAGTAATGATTCAATACATTTGATTCAGAGCAAGAAGCAAAATAGTGATACCTTGGGACGTTTATCAATGGCGAATTTGAGAAGTGAAGCAAACCCTACTTGAAGAGATTCCCAATCATCCAAATCGCAGAAACCAATAAGCAATGTCCCAATGCATTTCACAACAGCTCTCAAACTAGCAACCCCTAATTTATCTCCTTCTTGATCAATTGGTTTTACAAGCACAGCCACAGCTTCACGAGCCATAGTTGCTGAAATTTCTCCGGAAGGAACCAGAGGAACGACTAAGGATAGGAACGTAAGCAAAGCAGAAACCGCCGTTGGATCAGCCGTCGAAGAATCAACCGAAGATATAGCAGCTGCGAAGAAAGCTGGAGGAGATGGAGGAAGAGATTCCGATGTGAGAATGGAACGCATCGCGGCGGCGGTGGCGACGAGATGACGGTGCTGCGCGGCGGATGATTTGGCATAACGGTCCATAAGCTGTTGGGAGATGTCAGTGTCGCCATCTTTGAAGGCAATTTCATCGTTTTCATCAGCTCTGTCTTCAAAAGCCGCCATAGCTCGAAGAGATTTAGAGTTTTAGGGTTTAAGGGGAAACAATGACGTTGACGATGAACAAGACACACGACTAAATAAAACACAATGGACCGGAAAATTCGTCCGGTTTAAATGATAATGTCTATTTAGTCTCTCATTTACCGGTTCGGTACATAGATTTCGTCTATATATATCTATATTTAAATTAAGTAGGTTTTATAAACTTTCGTTTAAAATTACCTATCAATAATATTTATTAATTTTTTTTTTGTTTTTCAACTATCTTGATAATTAAACATTAATAAAACATCATATGTATACATGTTGAAAGGGAAAAACAGAACAAAGCATCAAGTAAATCATGAATCAAATTCTAGTCTCGGCTTTCATCCTGAATTCGAGAATGCAACCAAACTAGACCACTTTTAGATATGTATCATTCCTGCTTCCCTTTACGTGTGTAACACTTTAAGGTATATCACGAGCAAAAAAGCTAGCATGAGAAGAAAAAAGATTGAAATTGCATGTTTTGAAAGACAAAATGAAACGTTGTATTCTGCCCAAAAGGTTGCGATACTTTGGCCAGTTTCCGGTTATTTCAAAGCTGAGAACGATGCACTAGAGTCATATATACAATATCTCAATTGCATGTTTTTGGGTGTCTCTATCTTATTTTGCAGGGATCTCTTTTTCAATTTATGTCTCTTGAATATATACTTTCCGATTTTATTTATGTCATCGTCTTCGTCCATCGTGTACGGCTTCAGCCAGTGTAGTGTTTGATTCGCTCTTTCCTCTACGTTCATATCAGTTCGAGATCTACTATACCCATTGGGTTTCTATCGAGGTGTTGTAAAAACAATTGGTTCTTGCCTCTGCCATCTTTGGAAGTTTGTTTGGAGTATTTGCTACTACATCCTTTTGCTGAAGTATGAAGCTTTGGTTTTTTGGTTTGGAGATGTAGATTTGATTCACCATAGGAAGATTCGCCTTTCAGAATCTGACTTTGGGCCTTATGATGCTTGTTTGTTCGGTATTTTAGGATTGTTAGCCTTGTTTTTGTTTTATTTTTGGTCTTGTTGTTCGTCGTTATTAATTATAGTTCTTTATGTGGATTTCTTTTCGTTTTATATATTATCATATGACAAAATGAATAGGTATTTAGTGCGGACATAAAATATTTAAAATCAAATTGATAAATGAATATTTATATCTCATCTACGTATTAAAATATATATGATTATTATACCAACAC